GTAGTTATCTGACATGCTGATATTTTTCATCTCATTTTGGCTGGCTCCAGTTCAGATATATGCACATATTTTTCCCCCTAATTGCAGAGAACATCAAGTCTCTGCTGTAGTGGAATTAACATATTATTATTCCTACTCTTATCATGATGGCTCACTGCTAAGTGCGCACATAAAACACGATGCTGTTTCACTGTATTTCACTTTAAAGCCTTTATCAACCGACACCACTGATGTTGCTTATATCACTGGCCGTCCCTACAGCTAATCGTTTGAGCCACTAATTGTTTTAGCTCCAACCTAAAACACAGTAGCCCAAACAATACAAAAGGTTCACGTTTTAAAGCCAGTGTTATCCCTCTAAGACAGAGCATATGACTGTCAGACACGTCATGGTGCGTGTCTGTGACACTTGTCTGGATGTGATTTGGGTCATGGTTTCTAAGTGTGGCGATTCATCTGTCTGTGAGGGAAACTGCGACGTGTGTGTGGACGGATCATGTGAAGTGCTTCAGTGAGCTCGTCATCCTCATCGTAAACCTCCTTGGGGTAGCAAACCACTCTATCAAATTGCATTTGCAAATAATCTCACTTTAATCACTTTACTACTATAAACTTGCATGTTATTGCATTACATTATTAGATTGTTGCTTTGCCTGTGTTTTTTTGAGTGTTTTTCTTTCTCTTGTGTTCCTCCCTCGGGGTAAAACGAATTCCATTTTGTCCTCAAATTATTATGCTGATGTTGAATGCTTTTTATGGTTTATAAATCGGCAAGCTTTAACAGCATGGACAAGATCTACATGCAACTTAATTTTGTGGGGCAGAAGGCCCAGTAGCTTATGTCTTCTTTCTGTGACTGACATGAAATGCAGACATTGTGTTTTCTCAGATAGTGCACTTATTTTATCCTGCTACAATTCTCTTTATTGTGGAATTTGTAATGATTTTTTCTCGCCTTCTAAACTGTCTCTAACGCTCTAGTCTTTTGCGCTTATTTTGATCAAATTATAAGGATTTTTCATCAGCCGATACGATGAATAAAAGCAGCAAGAAGCTAAAAGCCTGTTTTTGATGAATCACTGCTTTAGTTGCATCACTCTGGCAGAAGTAGCGTACCAGGCACGATGTGACCGGGGTTTCTGCTCACTTTAACTGAACTATCTTCTCGGGGTCAATCTCATATAACATCAACCTCCTTTCCCCTGTCTGATTCCCTGTCGCTACGGTGATGGCTATCATGCCAGATTGAGACCAAAAGGGGATATTTCTCCTGACCAGGCTGCCGTCCTAATCCTTAGTGCCCAGATTACTGCTCCATCCCCTCCCTGCAGGATGACCGGCTGGCAGACTGGCAGGTCTGTACACTAGACATGAGATGGGATAAAGACAGAGCGAGCGAAGGAGAGGAGGGAAGCCTGGTGTCTCCTTCTGTAATATACAACAATTTGCTGCTAATGTGTCTCACCATTTGTCAGTGCGCCTTTCACTGAGTCCATCTGTTGCTTCCTTTGGGTGGATTCAAGCTTCCCAGGTTGTCACTAGAGCTGGGAGAAAACAACAAAACAGCCTTTTTACTTTCACATTTCTTTTTTGAGGGAGATTTGTGAAATGCGATCCATTATTTCTCCAGTTGTTTGAAGCTGTAGAAGGTGAAATGCAGGGACTGTTTCTGTAAACAGGATAATCATGGGCGCGGCAGTTTGCCTGGAGGATCTTTGAAAACATTGATGAAACCGGCATTGAACTTCGAAGACGAGGACATCCTTTTTCTCCAAACTACCTCCTTCCGACAGCAGAATTTCCCATCTTTCCTCTACTAAGCCTTCTCTGATTTCCTCCAGCATCCCTCTCTGTCTCTGGCCCTCCATTCCCACATCCTTTCAGTTTCACAAAGCGCTTGACCTTCTGCTTGAGCCCGAAGGCTTATTGTCCAATTCATCTGTTCTCCAATCTCTCGCCATTGTGGTTATTGTTCTTTTTCGCACTTTCTCTCCCCGCTCCTGCCTTCGCCATCATCCTGGGACTCTGATTTATAAGCTTGCTGCAAAGGCTTGGCTGATCCCTACACCCACCCACCCCCCTCCTCCTCCTTTAACAGAAGACTGAGCGGTGGAGAGATAGCATTGGAGAGGCTGAGAGGCAGGAGGGAGAAGAGGGAGCGATTGGCGGGGATATGATTTGCCAGCCAAAAGAGGATGACACAAAGAATTTGAATGTCAGCAAGCAGTTGGCGCTGATTTGCCTACCTATGCCCCAAAGCAGAGAAGAAGTTGGTTTATCTCTTTCAATATGTGACAGAGTGAGGCCAGAGGGTACGCAGATAAGGTCAAAATGAAACCGGGCACCCAGAAAGTGAGTTAATTAAAAGATAGCACATGTGCACGACTTTTTAAAGATTATTTGAAAACTTTCTGCTCTCAGTTTGCCTTGGGTTTTTACTATTAATGAGCAGGCTGGGATGTGATCTGTGCCTGTTAGCGCTGCTCACTCACAGATGGCAGTGTGGGAATCGGGCGACAGACCCCTAAATAACCCTGTGTGGTGCAGATGGCTCAGTGTCAAGACTGATGACCACCAGTGTTAAGTTGTCATTTGCGGGCGCTGAGGAGGGCTGTGGCCAGGAGGGGATTTTACACCCGACTGTGTGTGTTAGTGTGTAGAGTGTGCAGTCTGCTAGAGTGTGTGTGTGTGTGAGGGATTTGCTGATTTCTGCGCTACTACAGCCTGCAGCTTATCATGCTGACCTGTGGGGGATGTGAACTTTTGAAGGTGGATATTTGACCCACAGAAGTGTAACCTGATCTGTTGTGTGTATGCATGTGAGCTGTTATTACCCCCTCTTTTAAAGGCTTAAATTCCACATTACTACACATTTTTATTCATTTGTTTCCTTTTTGCTCATTAGGAGGCAAAGCGATGTTACTTGAGATGATCTTAATGGAAGTTAATGGCCCCCCTGGAGGTCCCATATCCATGCCCCAATTTATCCGAACTAGGAAGGTGGTATTAATGTTGTGGCTGTTGTGTATATTCTTGAAGATGAATAATATCTCATGAGAACATGTTAAAATTAGAACCTTTATTATTCATTATGTTCAAAGGGAAATGTAGGCGTACAGCTTAAAAACATTAGATAGCTCCAAGAAACCTGTAAACATGCCCTGAAGTGACCGGGTAATAATAACATTTTATGACTTTATAGGCTGTAGATTATGCACTCCTGCAGTATCAGTGACTCCACACACGTGAATATTGCAGACATTATCTTGTCTGTCTACCTTGTGTTGACATCCTTAAGCATAAAACATGAGATTACAGATGTGATTGGCTGATCTGAATGAGTGTAAAAACCAACCACATAACTCTAACACTTGCTTTGCTCGCAGTGCTTAGTGTATAAAAAAAGTTGAACAAAAGACATGTTAGGTAAATGGAAAAAAAAATAAAAAATCTGGATCCAATTTAATGTGTTCCACAGCCTCCAATCGATCTTTACCAGTTTCACAAACGCCTGGTTACTGGTGTGCAATAGCTCTGAATTGCATTACATTGTACAGGTGTTGGCTTTATTGCATTCACCTCATGTTTGTGCACCTGGCAAGCTTTCTGTTCTGCTTTGCTTGGCTTCTCCAGGCTCAATCAGGTGAAAACAGAAAAGCAGCTCCAGAGAGGGCTGTCATCCTCTTTTGCCAAGTGCGTAAATACAACGTGTATAAATGGAACATAATGAAAACTGATAAAGTTCATCTTTGCGCAGATACACCAGATACAAGCCTGCTAAATCGATCCGAAGATTTGAGTTTTCGGCTTCAAATTGAATCCAAATTGATGGCCCCCACCAGTTATTCTCTTATTGCAGGAGGACTTTATGCCCCTGGCTGCTTGGAGAGAATCAAGTCTGCAGGAAAAAATATGCTATCCATCTCACAAAACAACATTTGTTTGCCTGCCAGGGCCTTCAAAACCATTAACAAGATTAGGGAGCACACAATGGCAACAGTCCCTCTCCTCCCTCCCTCTGTCTCCTTCTCTTTTTTCCCCACGTATTCCCTCCCATTTTGTTCTAGCTCATTTGCCAGTACAATGCAGACATTCAGTGGTTTGTCTGCACCTCCTCTCCTAGGGGAACTTCAGCACAAAACCTCCTTATGCAGGCAGACAGCAGTGGCACACACACACGGAGAGGCACGAATCAACACACAGGAGCGTAAATTAACACAAAAATTAATACATTCATGCCAAAGGCGGACGCTCTCTCCTGCTCACACACACACGTTTGCTCACACACACTCCCCTTGCCTCCAGCCAGCATGCTCTTCTTCTCTATATGTGCTGCACTAACGGAGAGAATTGAACCAAAAACAAATCAACAGAGGGTTATATAAACACTATACTGCCCTGGAAAACTACAAAAAAAATAGCCTACATGGTCACAGAAATATACAATACTCCTGTAAAGGGTATAGCACAGGGCAGCTGAGTGGGTGTGTGTGCTTGTGCATGAGCATCATAGACTACAGCGGGTGTATTTGATTGCTCGAGGCTTGTTGTTTGAGGCAATTTATCCTTGTAAAGCTATTGATTTTGCTCTGTTTTCATCATTTTTCAGCAGCAGCGTCTTTTTGCGCATTTGAATATACAGTAGCCGAGACGCCGGGTGCGATGCTAGGACATGTAGGAAATCCAACCCAACATTTTGCTGAAATTGGAAGAGGAATATCTGCCCCAGCCCGACTTTCACGAACACCTTATCTTTGGATTTCCTCCTCTTCTCTCCCTCATGTCTCTCCCACTCCTCTCATCTGAAACCAGCTCACCTCATCTACTTTTCATCTAACACGCTAATCTCCTCTCCTCTCCTCTGCCGGCCCCCCTCTATCTAAGTAATAAAATTTAATTGCATCCGTCTTGCATTTTTCAGCGCAAGTGCTCAAGGAGTTTAACATGAGTGGTATATCTCATTAAATCTCTCTCCCCCCTCTCTCTCCCCCTACCCTTAGGTGCCTACAGATGTTTCTATGGGTCTGTTGGCAGAGCCCCAGGTGGCCATGTTTTGCGGTAAGCTCAACATGCACATCAACGTGCGGAGCGGCAAGTGGGAGCCAGACCCCTCGGGCACCAAGAGCTGCATCGACACCAAGGAGGGCATCCTGCAGTACTGCCAGGAGGTAAACTGTGGGGAGTGACGGGGGGCGTGTGTGTGTGTGGGGGGTGCTGCAAACAACCAACAGTAGCTGCTTACCTCCTTTTTGATGTGTACAACAGTTTATTCTCCCCCTGCAGAAATAATTAAATCTCCTATTACATGATTTTATTAATGTACTCTTTAACGCTGATATGAATCTTTATTATATCTGTTGTAGTGAAAAGTGTCAGCCTCAAGGGGGGTAGGAAAGGTTGGGGATATGGATACTGAATGTCAGGATAATGTTGAAAAATAATACTCATTTGGCTACGCATGCTGTGATATAGGGAATCCTCAAACTGTAATTACCCAGTGTTTATTTTATTTTGAGCGAGCAATAAGTCTAGATGATAAATTTTTATAGTGGTAGTCAGGTTTTTGGGTCGGGCAATTTACATTTTAGCCATTAAGCTGACAGTCTGAGAGCAACTTGCAATGATTTAGCAGGTAGCAGTGCAGCGACTTTACTGGGAACGCTTTAGGGGAGTTGACAATTGGATTCTCTCTTTTTGTAATTACCTGAAGAAGTTAGTTTTATTTAGGTTTTTTTTTTTCTTTTTTTGGAAAATTAGAACAATTTCGTAACATAGGTGGTAAAAAAAAAAAAACAACCAAGATGGCTGATAGCTTTCAATGTGAACACACCATTAGAAAGTAGACCAAAACAGAAACAGCTATGGGTGTAAGGTATTTGGTCTTGCTGGCGTGAGAAAATATAAGCGCACCGAAGAGTCTGTCATGAGTGGGCTACACAGTCCACAAGCAGATTTGTTTTTAGTCACCAAAATCCCCAATTTGGCAGGATCTCATGATGCCAAAACTCTGCTCAGTAAACAAGCTGCTTAAGTCCATGTGACTTTACTTTACCAGCCATGGCTAGATTTTAATTAGGCAGCATGAAGCCAACCAAACCAAAAAGCTAAAATGCAGCACAGTGAAGTGTTCTGTTGTTGTTTAGTCTAAGAAAACGCACCCTTCTGTTAGACACATGGCTGTTGATATTCATAAACCGACTCTAACTGCTTTCCTTTCGTTCTGTCTTCTCCCACCGCAAAACCGCATCATTTCATTTGGGAATATCCCAGTAGCACAGATAAACAAATAAACTATGATAAAAGAGAGTTGTCGGATAAGCGGAGCTGGTTCCTTTGAAAAACATGTACAACAGACTCAAAGGTAGATAAATTCACGTTTCCATTGTTACCACTGATAACAAATCTAGTGATAACACTTCCTCACCAAAGCAGCCTTTGGGTCCCAGCTTTAAACACAATTTTAACCTCAAATATTAAAAATAAAAAAAGGCATCCTATCCTCCCGTAAGCTGAATGGAGGAGCTGATTTGACAGAGGTGAGTGCAGCAAGAAACCAAGAAGGTTATGGAATGACAATTTTTTCCTTTGCATTGGGAGAAGCATGAAGGGAGAGAAAATAGAAAAGGAGGTGTCATGAAAAAGAATGAGGGGAGAGGTATTTGGAGAGGGCTGACATGCCAGCTCAGAATATTGTGCAGAAGCAGACGTTATGCATGGCTGAGAGGAATATAGAGGTAAACACAGCAGTCTGAAAAGCGAAAACAGAATCAAGTAGCACTGCGGTAATGTAATGATTAAATATCTGGGAAAACAACACATTTTCTCAAAGCGAGGGTGCAAAATACTTTTGGAAAGGCAGTGAAAAAGAAAGAATTGATAACCTTTTGAAATCGATCAGCAAAAGCTTTCTCGACATCTATAACTGTGTGGCTAGGAGGACCAAAGATGACCCAAGATCAAACCTGTGATTATTTTCCCCTGAAACAGAAACTAGCTTATCAGAAGTGTAGATGATACATGGGGATATGATCGAGCATAAAGAGGAAGAGTGCTGCATGGGCGAGAGCACTGGACAGAGCAGGAAGTAAAATTAGTCAGAAATATTTAGGTACCAACGAGAGTGTGTGTAGGACACAAAGTGGGTGAATCCACGAGTTCTGATTATGTGCTTCCCACTTTTGAGCTGCTGTTATAAAGGTTCAACTGGATGATAAGTGACTTTGCAGTGCTATGACGCCAATATAACATGTAATACTGTGTGCACAGGTGTACCCAGAGCTCCAGATTACCAACGTGGTGGATGCCAACCAGGCAATCAGCATCCAGAACTGGTGCAAGAAGGGGCGCAAGCAGTGTCGCAACCACATGCACATTGTGGTGCCCTACCGCTGCCTAGGTAAGGCCACCATACGTCTATATATGAGGGTTAACTTTTGTGGGAAGTAGTGTCCCTTTTCAAGAATTGCAAGCAGGAGAAACATGGAAAAGATCACTATTTTAATCTGGTTACTGAAGGAGTTATTACAGAAACTTGTGCTTTTTGAGAGTTCTCTGTGTTGGTTGAGATGTGTCTTGACTTAGTCTGAAAGCTGAGCTGAAGTTATGTATGAATTATAAATATGGATATTGTTTTTGCTGCAGTGGGAGAATTTGTGAGTGATGCCCTGCTCGTTCCTGACAAGTGCAAGTTCCTGCACCAGGAGCGCATGGACCAGTGTGAGAGCCACCTGCACTGGCACACTGTAGCCAAGGAGGTGAGTCCACACCCGCGCACATCCACCACTTTAATGACTAGCATGAATATGTACTGATCTATTTTCCCTTCCGTATCTCCGTAGTCCTGCGGAGACCGCACCATGAATCTGCACGACTACGGGATGCTGTTGCCGTGCGGCATCGACCGTTTCCGAGGAGTGGAGTTTGTGTGCTGTCCCGCTGAGGCGGAGCGTGATGCTGATAGCACAGAGCAGGATGCTGATGATTCTGATGTCTGGTGGGGTGGAGCAGAGACTGACTACTCCGACAACAGGTACACACACAAACAGATAAATGAGGGCAAGGCTGCAGTAGAGTCATACATCAGCGCTCAGATGATCATAGATACTGCCACTTTCATTTTTAACACTGTCATGTGGACAAAATTTCTCTCCTTGAAAAGCAACTTGAAGGTTGGTTATAATTTAAAGTCTCTGTCCCTTCTGCCTTCACCTTCATCCACCTTGTCTTCCCTGTTTCCTCATCCCTCTTTCTGTCCCCTTTCCTTCCTTCACTGCTCTTGCTGCCTCCATATGTCTCCTCACTCCCCTCTCACCTCCATTCTCTATTTCCTACCCTCCCTCCTTCTTTCTCTTTTTCCATCCATCCCTCCTTATCTCCCAGTATGGTGCGGGAGCCGGAGCCAGTGGAGCAGCAAGAGGAAACCAAGCCATCTGTGGTAGAGGAGGACGAGGAGGAGGAAGTGGCCGAGGAAGATGACGAGGAGGAGGAGGAGGAAGAGGACGTGCTGGACAACGATCAGGACGGAGATGGAGAGGAGGACGAAGAGGTGGTGGAGGAGGAAGAGGAGGAGGAGGAGGAAGAGGGAGACGACGACATCATCGATACACTCGATGACAACGACGACGCCGACGAGCCCACCACCAATGTTGCCATGACGACAACCACCACCACCACCACCGAGTCTGTTGAAGAAGTTGTCAGAGGTGAGGAACGTTTTTTTTAAATGGGTGTTTGTGTACAGGTCAGCGTCTTACTCTCCACGATGTGTATATATTTAGTCTTGTCCTTTATGTTTTTGTTTCCATTATTAGGTTAACTTGAGGGATTCTTTACTTCTTCAATACAGTCATCAGATGACTTGGTCTCTTTGCATTTAGATTAATGTGGAGCAATCTGAGGAGTACAACATGCAAAACATGTTTTTCCCCCCATTTTTTATGCTTTGCTAAACACAGTTGAACTTGGTGTTCCTCGCCCATTAATTTCCTGCTGTCATTTTTCTTATTGTGCTCATTTATCATTTCACAGCTTTCATTAGCCACGTTCCATTAGAATCAGAATTGGTTGTACCGGCACTGCTTCTTCATTTTGTGTTAAATTGGTCTTAAATTCGATTCCAAGCAGCATTAATAATGCCGACTTTTTTCCACGTTACGTAACACCAAGTATTTTAATTTTGTTTTATGTCCTTGAGTTTAAGCAGCAGATTTTTATAGTTGAGCTCATGTGAGATCTTCACCAAGACCTCGACGTAGAGATGACACACAGGGTGTATGGTGAGCTGTAGCGAGTTTGTGGCAATGCGAAATGTGACAAGTGTGTGTATGTGTACGTGTGTGTATTGTCCTCCAAGATGTGTGCTGGGCCAATGCAGAGACTGGTCCATGCCGGGCCATGCTGCCCCGCTGGTACTTTGATCGTCAGGAGGGCCGCTGTGCTCAGTTTATCTACGGTGGCTGCGGAGGCAACAGGAATAACTTTGAGTCAGAGGAGTACTGCCTGTCTGTCTGCAGCAGCGTCAGTAAGTCCGACAGCAGCTAACGTCGACCAGCAGCTTACTGGTTTTACCTGCCTGTTGTTTCCATCTCTGGTTTGTCTCTAACCCTCACGTTTACTCGCCGTCTATCCAAACAGTTGGCTAGCTGCTGAATATTAACACCTGTCCAAAAGTTTCTTGCTTGGTGTGTTTCTCTTCAGGGTGTTGCCTCTCTGTCAGCTCCATTCCTCGCCAACATTTACTTTTTCCTCACAGTCTGTGTGTGTGTGTCAGTCATGCAAATAAATATGTACCTTTCCCATCCTTTAAAACACAAACCAGTCAGTAGCTTTAATCCTACTAGTCTGTCACCATGTGTGGGGCCACGTGATCATGGCCTAAATAATAATCACGATTATTTTGAACAATATTGAGATCACAGTTATCATACATGGTTATTGATTGATTTTAGGGACAAAATACTCTATTGCAGACCAAAAATCACCCTGAACAGAGTGAAATAACACCTTCTAATGTCAGATTAACCCAAGAAGAAAACAAATCTTTTTAATCCACATGGGCTGTTTCCGATGAGCAAAGCATTTTAAACATCAATACCGCTGTCGATCATCTTTAATTTAATTGCGGGAAGCCAAAATCATGATTAACATTCAATTAATCGTGCAGCCCTGATGCTATGTGTTTACCTGAGCTGTAAAGGATTTACATTTTCCAGTACATTTAACTTTGAGTCCCACTGGGCTTACTTTTGTTTTGAGAGCTGTTGTGGGTTTTTAACAGTTAGGATGAAAAAGACAAATGGCACTTCTGAGTTTCTAGCGAGGAGACTCTTAGGTTTGGTAAACCCGCATGCCAAACTCATTACGGTTTTTTTTTATCTATTAAAAGTCAGCACTGAAATAAGTAAGTGCTCCAATAACTGGTTAGAAATAAAAGGCTCATTTTCATGGACAATTTGCTTCAGGGGACATTCTTTACATTACTACTGCTGCACTGTTGTTGCCCTACAGAGCATGTAGGATAACCACTGTAATTTCCATGATTACAGCTTTTTCAAAGCCATCATGAATACATATATTACTTTAGCATGAATATGAGGTGGAAAATCTTTCAGCCAGAAACAATTTTTGCAATAATCCACACGTCACTGCACATTATCCCTTATGTCCCTGTCATGTTGCAGGGTTGCTTACATTACTCCGTCCTCATCACTGAGGAAATATGTTGCAGCTGATTTATTCAATTCTCTGAAATCAGATGTCAAATTACCCTGCTGCAGTGTTGAAAATGTGAAACATTCCCCAGGTAGCAGTAAGGAAAAACTCATCAATACAACATTACACGCTCTCAGAACATACCTGCCTTCCGCATTACACTGTGATGATTGATTATCAGTGGTATCACTGAAAATGAGGGTGATTGCCCAATGATTTTTCCACCTTGTTAAAATGTCAGAGTTCCTCATAATGGAAACTAGAAACCTGGAAAAAAAATCTAAGAATACTTCTTGCCTCTGCGTGTTGCGGTAGATGTGATCATTCAGTCACAAACTGGACTGATTGGATTTAAAATCTCAGTCAAATTAGTTTTCCCCTGGAGTTTTTCCTCATTCCCAGGTGAGTGTGTGACCTCCTGCACAGAGGCGAGTTGTGAGTGATAGACAGGGAGCGGAGGCTGGTTTAGGTGTTTGCCTCCGACGTTGATTTTGGATGTGTAAGGTTCGGTGACCTTGCTCGGTGTGTGTGTGCGCGCGAATGGCCAGCAGCGAAATGGAGTCGTGCTTTTTCCATCTCCCAAAATTTTGATCTAATTTTATCCTGTGTGTGTGTGTGTGTGCGCATGTGTGAGTGCACATTCATGTGTGTTTTGGTTTGGTTTCTGCTCTGCTGAGCACAGCAGAGGTGAGAAAGTGCTGCAGTATCTTTCACCTCACCAGCACACACTCTGTACTTCCGTGTGTGCTTAATTAATGATCATTCGCATTCAGGCTCAGTACGGCTGACATTTCGTTAAGTTTTTCATAAATATAAAGCATATGATAATTACAGTAATAATCCATGTTATTTTCATACAGCAAATGCCACTTTTCTGTGTTTGTTTTGGTCTAATATTATATTGATTCAGTATTTGCCCAGTTAATGGAAGCTCTTGCTCTTCTAAAAGGTCGTACTTGGGAGAGCACTTAGGTAGCGATGCACTTCATATTTCTGTCAACAACGGGAGCAGTTTGCCATCAAAAACCAAGGATGTGCCTCAAATCACTCCTTTTACTTTCTCCTGCACAATTAGCAGTCAACGGTTTAGTCTTTAATGGGAAATAAATTGATATTTTAGACAGTTATGATTATGAGCTACCATCATTATCAACAGTGCAGCAAAACTGTAATTTACACCTTTGTTTTTATCGAAAGCTGAGCACAGCATGCACAGCACTTACAGAAAAACCCTCATATACAATAATTTACAGGTAGTATGGTATGCATGGGAGCAAATAAGGAATTTCTAAGGAAGGAAGTATAATTATTGAAAACTTCACAGTCTAAAACCACTACCATCGTGAATGCTTAACTTTATTGATAGACGATAATCTAAACAAGGAAATACTGGATTACTATGTTAACACAATGGACAAGGGTTAAAGGGTCAGTTGGCACAAATTACCAAAACATGAACAGATTTCTTTCCTGTTTCCTCCAATTAAATGCAACTTAACTTGATATGTGATGCTCAGAACGTTTAAAAGTCCAACAGCAGCTTCTCATTAAAGGTAGGGCAGAAAAAGCTTTTTGTATTCAGGTGAACTGGCCCTTAACAAGATTGTAAAACAACAACGCTCTGCTCAGGTCAGGGTGAATAACATCTCTCTGTTGCTTTTGTGTCTTGTGCAGTCATGCGCTCTCATCAGACGGAACCAATTTCACATGACGTGCGACCTTCATGCATGCACACAGACACAGATTGGCTCACGTAGCGCTCGTGCTGGCGCGTTTTTGAAAGATTATCAACTTGCCACTGATTAAATCCAGGTTTCACACAATAACTGATCCAATTTGTTTCTTTCTGGACCACATTTATTTTGTGCTTCTGAGCCCACAGGATAGATTCCACTGTCAGTAGTTTGGCAGCAGAGCTCTATCACGCTCTGAATAAAGTTACATAAATGAGAGAGGGGTTTTGTCTCTCTTCTACAAAGCACCGTGGGTCATCTGAGGCTTTCACTTGTTTGCTTTTGGAAGGTGCTGGCTTCCAGCTACAGCTACTATCTTGCTTTCTTTCTCTCTGGAGCTCGTACTAAACCTATTAACCCATTTTCGACTTTGTGTTTGCGTGTGCTGAGGCAACACGGTTGGTCCCACATCAACCAAATAAGTGTGCAGTAACGAGAACATCTTTTCACCTCCCTTTCTTCTCCTCTCGTGCCTTCTACTTTGATACAGTACCCACAGCCACTCCCAGCTCCCCCGATGCTGTGGACCACTACCTGGAGACGCCTGCTGACGAAAACGAACACGCCCACTTCCAGAAAGCTAAAGAGAGTCTGGAGGCTAAGCACCGCGAGAGAATGTCCCAGGTAATGATGGAAAAAAAAAAAAGTTGTTGATTTTCTTTCAAACGAATAGACTGAGCTGATCAGCAGACCACATGCATATTAGGAAGTAATGGTGACTGTGCAGGAAGAACAGAAAGGAGGATTTTCTTTTTAGCAGAGAGAGGACAAAGGTATTCCTATGAATAGAAAATAGAAGCACAAGAGGTGAGTAAAAGTAAAACGAATAGGTGTGTTTGTTAATCCCTCCCGGGTGAGCCGACTGAGCCATTTCGACTTTAATTGTATTCTTTAATCAACCGCTTCGGTCTTCGGCGGAGAGCCAGATGGTCTGCAGCAGTGTCACAGTTTTCAAAGCCCCAGACAAGAATGCTAACAACCTTGTGGGGCGCCTACAATGACTCTTCTTTTTCTTTTTTTTTGATTGCAAGAGTTTTGCACCACTCTCCTTAGCTCGGTTTGTTTAGAACGAATAGCTACAGGCGCAGCGTCGTCTGATTTTGCACGGTTGGCTTCCCCCTTACAGATGCCGTTATGTCATTGGAATTAAAGAATCCACCCAGTGAGTCAGAGGAGGGTGAAAACGAGGGTGGATGCACAATTATCTGTCAGGAGGGGATGAAACCGATCAAAAGAGAACCAAAACGGCCGATTTTTTTTTTCTTTTTGACGACCACTCTCTATATCAAACTGCACTTTAGCCGTAACAGCAGAAACTCCCTCGTATTGACATTCTGACATTTAGCCTAGATGTTGTTTTTTCATAGCTGTGTGAAACGGAGACAGCTGCGAAAAGCAATGAGATATCTCACTCAAGTGTAAAGTCAACCTTGTGTGGAAACAGGGTGGATGGATGAAGCAGATTGACAGCTCTAATGAACGCTTTTTCCTTCACACGCTTGTCTTCAGGTGATGAGGGAGTGGGAAGAGGCTGAGAGGGAAGCCAAGAACCTTCCACGTGCTGACAAGAAGGTTGTCATCCAGGTAAGGCCGTTTACATCCTGGGCATATACAACAGCACCTCGTGTTTTGTTTATTTATTCATTTTTTTTCCCTCCACTGCTGAAAACATTGCAATGTTGTGTGCACGCAGCGTTTCCAGGAGAAGGTAGAAGCGCTGGAGCAGGAAGCAGCCAGCGAGCGCCAGCAGCTGGTGGAGACCCACATGGCCCGGGTGGAGGCTCTGCTCAACGACCGCCGCCGTCTGGCTTTGGAGAGCTACCTGACTGCACTGCAGCAGGACCCACCCAGGGTACGCTACACATACAGCTCAGCAGCTTCCTCGTTCTGTGGAACTGATGCAGAAGATTGGCAGCATTTAATGATCATATCTGGAATGAACACTTCTGTTTTTTATATCCTCGCTGAAGTTACTGTTAACATCTCTCCCCTTCTTTGTGTCGAGTTTATTATTCATCCTGACGCTTCTTGCTCCGTTTCCTTTTGAAGTGATGTATTTTACGTGTCCCTTTTATCTGACCTGCTGCATGAATAATTCCCCTGCATGTGTTCTGTTTTGTTAGTCCTTTCCCTCTGTGGTTTGTTACCACTGTGCATCCGCATGTAACAAAAAGAGCCCTTTGTATCGTGTTTATGCTTTCAAAATAAGGTCAGCGTATTGGATTGCAGGGGACAAACCAAACTGAGATGATTTAAAGGCTAAACTTGTACGCACGCAGAACTTTCACACATAAATCCCCTTTGTATTGAGATTTGCTGCAGAAAATTAGAGAAAGTGAATGTTTGATCAAATTATGTCTACTGTTTGGTTTTGGTTGCAAACAGAGAAGTCTCTCTTCTGATCCTGACTGTAAATGAATTTATAAATGCTATTTCACGCCATCCTTCCTCTGCTCTTAACCATCTGTCTTGCTCTCTCCCCCCCTGCCTCCCGCAGCCCCGTCACGTCTTCAGCTTGTTGAAGAAGTACGTGCGCGCCGAGCAGAAGGACAGGCAACACACCCTTAAACACTTTGAACACGTACGCATGGTGGATCCTAAGAAGGCAGCCCAGATTAGACCTCAGGTAGCATCGGACACACAATCCATCTCACACTTTTCATCTCCCATGCAAAAAAAGTGCCGCTAATTCTGCTCTTTATGCTAGAATTCAGTTGTTTGTGTACTGCTCTTTCAGATTGTTTTACTTAAGATGTTTTTTTTGGTATAATAGGTGCTGACCCACCTGCGTGTCATCGAGGAGCGTATGAACCAGTCTTTGGGACTTCTCTACAAAGTGCCTGGCGTGGCTGATGATATCCAGGACCAAGTTGGTGAGTTCTCAAGTTGTTTTTTTGCATTGAAGCTTTCCATGCATCTGCTGCTATTGGTGACTTCAAGTGAGCACAAAATTTGAATTCAGTTCACTGTAGAAAGTAAAGGCAAAAACATCAGAGCCTTAATAGGATCCAGGCAAACATGATATAACAATAGAGGCGAAGCTGAGAAAACTGGGAAGGCTTTTATAGCTGAGACAACAGTAAATAAGCAGAGAGACAAGAAAATAAAAATCACTCAGAATGGCATAAACCACATCTTGTAACTATGAATTTTAATGTCTTTTACGGTTACTCCGAGACTGCTGGCCCGTGTATGAGAGAGATACGGGCGAAAACACACTGTCCTGATTGCGTTACATGTAACAGAGAGATTGAATGCTCTAAATTCCAACCCCCCCTAAAATGCAATTTTTTTTGCTGATAAGGGCATTGGAGCCATTTGGCCTAATTCTTCTGTTCGGAGTCAAATGAAACTGTTTGCTGGGAAGATAAATCCCCTCCTCTCCCCTGCCCTCCCCTCTCATTCCAGCATTTCTGTGGGTTTGTGGGTTTATTGGAGTTGTGTGCGTCATGCAGCCATCTGTGTCTCTGTCTCGAAGACTGTCACAGTTTGTACTGCCCGGCAAATACATGCAAACATACACAGAAGAAAAAAAAACATCATTCAGTCTTTGCTGGGCATCAGGTCTATGAAAAAAAAACTGTGCTAAACCACATTTCTTGGAGGCGGTCTGTCCCTTCTGAGATAGAAACATTTGTGTAGGAAGGTTGCGTGGGGAATAATATTTAAAGAATATGTTAACAAGTCGGCCGAAAAACTTGGCCGTTCTGGTTATAAACCGTAATTAGAAAATACATCAGTTTTTTTTTTGTGATCAGCACTATTATCAGCACCAAGAGCATTTCGTGTTGAAGCAAGAGGACAGAGTTTGACAAATTCCTCTCTGACTGCTCTCTTTCCTTTCCCTGTGATGTCCATCCAGAGCTCCTGCAGAGGGAGCAGGCGGAGATGGCCCAGCAGCTGGCCAACCTGCAGACAGACGTGAGGGTGAGCTATGGCAACGACGCCCTGATGCCCGACCAGGAGCTGGGAGACGGCCAGACTGACCTTTTGCCTCAGGAGGACACGCTGGCCCTGGGGGGAGTCGGCTTCATCCACCCCGAGAGCTTCAACCAGGCCAACACTGAGAACCAGGGTACTGAGAGCAGCAGCTACGATTTAACTGATCAGAATGACAACAATATGGAAACTGCTTTTGATATTTTAGCATGAAAAACATTCCTAAGCTTTTGGTTTTTTTTGCGTTTGCACATTGTTTGTGCTACAAAATTATTAGAAAATAAAATTTCTCTCTTTCTCCTTCTAGTTGAGCCAGTGGACTCTCGCCCCAGCCTTGACAGAGGCATCCCCACACGACCAGGTTGGTGTTGTTCAAAAAGTTGGAATATGTTGTCAAGTATTTAAATGTCTTTTTAAAGAAGCTGCTGTTTGTGGTTTAAGGGCTGCAGATACTATACTGTAGACTTTTTCCACATGCGACCACGGCTGCAAGCCACTAACTCTGAAAGTGTTCACACGTTCTTCAAAGCCCCTTGTCAGTGTTTGCTCAGTAATGTGTAAAGATGGGTCTTGATGTAAGAATGTACCCTCTGGTGGCAACATTAGCAGCATTGTTGCATCACTTTGGTGGCCATGTATGAGTCACTGGTGCATTATGGTTGCAAACAGCTGATTGAATTGTAATTTCTACTCTGTCAGTAAAGACCTATTCCTTATTAATGGAAGCTTTGGTCCAAAAAATATTCAGTGCACTCTGTTTTACTCTGAGTCTTGGTTTTCCTTGTATTAATAAAAAAAATATATATATTTTTAAAATCAGAGCACCTGAGTATTTTTTGGACTGCCATTAAAAAGAAATGGGACCATCATTTGTTTTCCATTTTGCTCACCCTTGGCCCTATTCTCGATAATCGCCTGATTCTGGATTTTCTTTCTTTTATTCTACTAACACTCGTGTTCTCACCCAGTGCAGCACTCGCTGTTTTCTTCATGGCCTTGACGGATTGTAGAGAACTAGTATTGGTACCACTTTCTAAAGCGTCTGCCTTCGTAAATGGTTTTTGTTACTAATGGCTTTAATAAGAGTTCAGTTTTCATTCATTATGCTTTATTGATCAGTTGCCTTTCCCATAACTTTTATAATTACAAATGACTTTGGCTGATTAGAGAATATTAGATAAGACAGCTTTATTAATCCCCAACAGAGAAACTCATTTGCCACCAATTCAACTCATCCGAACAATATAGACAATACAGACATTACAAAAGCCGCTAACAGCATTGGCACTGCATTCGGAGTACACTGCAGTTTAGTAAAAATATCCATTGGAGATGTGATTCACCGCTGAAAAGTGCTAAAGATCTATAATCGCATCTAAAACTATTCATTAAAAAAATCTGACCTTCTGAGTCATTCAGAGCATCACTAATCGCTCCCTAAATGAGCTCCTGGCTCAGTTAAAACGCTGTGTAATGCACAGCCTTCAAAATACAAAGCTGCTATGATGTCTTAAAATAAAGTAAGAAGCCTAACATTGAACCAAAAAATGTCTTTTAACTGATGCAGCACTAGTATGTTATTTTTTAGCCATTAATAAAATCTAGTCACAAGTTAAAAACACTCACTCACGAAAGGGCACTGTATTAGAAAGCGCTATGAGTATCTGCAGTCCCCTGTCTATGCCGGGAACCGATGAATAATATCAGTTTTTTTTTACTTTTATTGCCTTGAACCCTTGAGGCCCATCCAGCTGATGTGTCTATCCCATCATAAACAGCTTTATCTCATGGCTGGTTTTGCATGTGACCTTTAACAATGATAACTTTGTTTAAGCAGCTTCCAGACTATAAAAAAAACAAACAGATTTGTTTAGGTTAGGTAAGGTCTTTTCCTAAAATATATCATACATTGTTTTGAAGTAGATACTTGAGGTAAAGCCAGAACAGTATTTTTCCGCTCTCTCTCCCTCCCTCAGCCATTTTTCTTTTGCACACAGCTAGCTCCACTTGACCTCCATTAAGGTGCAGGTGCGGCTGTTAAGAGATTTGCAATGCAGCTGCGGGTCTATGCATACTGCATATGCTGTCCTATATGTGCTATATTCAATTCATACTGCTGCTACATCCAACACTCAGCTGTCCGCTGCGCTTTAGTCAGTGAGTTTTACTTCAGCGAGTGTGTCTGTGAGAGAGTGAAAGTGGCTGAGTGTCACCATCCATAATAGATTGTGTTTTTCTTTCCCTCGCCAAAGAAGGTGAAGCTATTCCTGAGCTGCGGATGGAGACGGAGGACAGACAGAGCACCGAATATGAAGTTCACCACCAGAAGCTGGTAAACAAACACATACTAACACCAAAAGAAGCTCAGTGTGAAGCAGTGCAGATATGCAGACTCATTTGAAATTCACTGATCTGAATAAACATGCAGGCTGCTTAATAAGCATTGGGAGAGGACACACACACACTCACACAGACACGTGCACACACATGCATGCATAAAGATGCATTTTACTGACACATGCAAGCTTGCACTCTGCCCTCTCTTCACCAGAAGCACACACACACATCCATGTCTCCACTTTGTCCTCCTGGTAAACTCCCAAGGTTGTCACCATGGAGACAGGTGCCCATGGAGACAACCGCGATAATGTGTGCGTCACACTTGTGTGTGCTATTCTCTAAAATCCACTGCCCTCTGATCACAGTAAAGTTTTTTCACTGCTCATATCAGTCAGTATGTTACTGCTCCACCAAAAGTTATCGGACCAAACATGACATTGTTCTCAGAGCCCAGTTCTGCGTTCAGTCATTAATCTCATCCGGTATTGTAATTCCAGCACAAAAAAACCTCAATCCATCCTCAACCAAATCCAAATCCACGTACCTTATTCCTCTCACCTAAAGGCTTTAATCCCATAATCCCTACATTTTATTACATATCACATTTCTTGCATTCACAATGAGCAGTCAGTGTGTCAGGCTGCCTCCTTAACATGACTCCTTAATTTGATATTCACCGTAACCCCAATCAGCATTCTGCAGGATTATTCGAGAGAAGACTGAAATTAAGTCCCCACTCACGGCAGCGTTTGACACGAGCAGCGGTGCTGAGATGTCAAGATGCATTTCTGTTAGATGATCTGCAGTTTAGTGGTGCATTTTGTGGGAGTAGACAAGGTTTCTGTCCCGTTATCCCTGCTGGTGTCAGCATAGTTGGAGATATCAGGAGTTGTTTTCCTCCCTTCAGAAGACATTTGCATCTATTTATTGCTGTAATATATGAAAAATGGGCTCCACCGAGCTCCCTAATCTGTAACAGAGAGCCTTTCATTTGGCTTTATTGTTTAAAATCACGAAATGTGTTGTGCTTGAGCTGAGTCATTCTGCATCGGTGCTCCTCTATATCGTACTCCGCTCTCTGTAAATCACATGGCAGAAATTATTTCCACCAGGAAATTATCCTTTAAAAACAAGACCCCTTATAAACTTTGTCATCTCCGTGTGTACTTAATGTGTCATGTCTCTGTTCCCTAGAAGCACAGCAGTTATTTTCAAGCTAAATTAGACTCTGAATTGATAAAAATGAGAAGAACGGGAACATTTTAGGAAATGTAATTACACACAGCATGCACTGCAGAATGATTTAATGTAAATGGGCTCTAACCTCAAATGACACCAATATTCTACTCATCACGTCAGAGTAGCAGCTAGTGGAGCTCATTGGATTCAGAGCCGTGCGTCGCTTCAACAGGAGGAACAAGATAAACGTGTAAAGATTGTTGTTGTTGTGATTCCTGCCCTGTGGCTGACAGATCACCTGACCGCTATCTGCCCTTCAACTCCCACAGGTCTTCTTCGCAGAGGATGTCGGCTCCAACAAGGGCGCCATCATTGGCCTGATGGTTGGAGGCGTCGTCATAGCAACCGTGATCGTCATCACCTTGGTGATGCTGAGGAAGAAGCAGTACACCTCCATCCACCACGGAGTGATCGAGGTGGGAAACAGCTGACCTGTCTGTTTATTTGTGTGTGTGTGTGTGCGTGTGTGTGTTGTGTACAAGCTGTTGTATACAGCAGTCAGTCTGGTGTGTGAGGATGATGCTGTGCATGCTCGTGTGACTTCAAGCTGTTCTCCGAGGTGTATGTGTTGTTAAAGTGAACACAGGGATGCTACACTCAACAAAAAAAACGTTTTTAATTGTGTGTTTAGTGAATTCAATTAGATTAATACCCGTTACCAATTAATTTCCTGCTTTCCTTCTTCTAATTATCTACGTTTCAGAACTTCCATTAGTTGTTTGATTAAAAAATATTGTAGCCTCGGCAGCCTCGTTGCTTTATTTTTGTAAATTACTCTTTAAAAAATCACTTCCCAGCAGCATTAAGAAGGTCTTAAAATGTAGATTGCCTTTACATTGGTATGGCTGTGTGTAACCTCCCCCCTCTCTCTCTCTCTCTCTGGCTCCTCTCCAGGTGGATGCTGCCGTCACCCCTGAGGAGCGCCACCTGTCTAAGATGCAGCAGAACGGTTATGAGAACCCAACCTACAAGTTCTTTGAGCAGATGCAGAACTGAGGAGAATGTCACATGTACACACACACACACACACATGCACACATACACACATGAAAACATCTCCTCCCACACATCACGCACCTTCCCTCTCCCCCATCCTCCCCCCTCGACCGGTCCCACGTCTCCAAAAGGCAGTGTGGCATAGATCATGGAGTGACTGAAATAGTCAGTTACGAGCATACGGAGCGACTGTAGCCGGGGTTTCTTTCATTTCAGCCTGGGCGTACACCGCGGCCGAGCCAGTTTGCACCAAGTTTGTTCACTTTATTGGAGCAAGACGCCTTTTAATTAAAGAAAGGAGTTTTTATATGTTGCTCCGTCTGGGCCTGCTGATGTATGGGGGGGGGAAATATAAAAAGGCCCCGCCCAGGGCATCGAAACAAACCCGCTCTCTGGGGAAAGAAGCGTGTCCTCGCCACACTGATTCAGGGCCAGTGTATAGTTGGGTTTTGTTTTTTTGTTTGTTTTTTTTTGGCTTGGGACGGTTTTAGGTGTGGACTTGTGTAGGCAAATCTGACCACTGATCAGTCGGGTTACAGGCGCGTGCTGACCTGGTCCTCATTTATAAAAAGCGGTTGCGTGCAGAATCACTTCAAATCATTCTTCAACATGTATTCATTTGTTTGGATCCTATTCTTTGTAATGATTATAGAATGAAATATATGCGTAAGTCAGCCAACGGGGTTTATTATAAATGAGGCCCAGTGTTTCCCCATCTACTGCACCACTACTGCACTCTCCCTACAGTCTACACTGGAGTACAAGTGAGCCTCCTCCCCCCCTCCCCTCCTCCTCCTCCCCCCTCCATCCCTCCCTCCATCCTCTTTTCTTTGCGCATTCTTACGACAGCTGGGCTGTGTTAAGTCACACAAAGCTCTTAAGGATAACTGGAGATGCTGATGATAATGAATATGTTGACGACGACGACGACGACGACGGTAGTAATTATGTATTCTGAATGAGCTGTTTTTATTTTACAGTTTTTCTCTTATCGTTTCCAGTTTTGTTTTTCAAAAAAGAATGAAAACGGAGAAAAAAAAAAAAAAGTCAACTGATGTAAAGTCCTTTTTTTAAATTACGTGTAATGTTACTGAAGTAATGCTGAAGTCTTAGCTGTTCCTATGTAGTGCATGACAACAATGACAACGGGATTCGGAAAAACAGAAAAAAAAAAAAGAAAAAAAAAGAACCCAAGATCTTGACGCTGCTCTCTCTTGAGATCCTTTCTCACATATAGATTGTCATTCTAGCAAGATTGTACATTTAGTATCTTCTCGTGATCACGTGACTTCAAACAATGATGAAAAATATATATAAATCTAGATCAACGAGCTCTGCTTTGATATCATGTAAAAATACACATTTAAAAAGAGATCTGTGATTTTTGGAATTTTAAGTGTTTTTATTTTTAACCTGCCAACTTTCCTGAAGCTACAGGAGGGGCGCCGGGCTTCATCTCTTGTTTGTATATTATTCTCATTCACTGAAATATATTGTGTTGGAAATCCTTACGTGTAGGGGCTCTCAGAAATCACTCCCATTAATTTTTTTTTTTTTGCTTTCTCGTTCAACCCATGTGACTGTGTTCTTTGAAAAGGGCATGCTGTGGGGGTGACGGCTGGGAAGGAAAACGTGGGGAAAGGGGGTTAGGATTATCTCTGCGTGTACGTGTTTGTGTCATTTTCGGTCTGGTGTTTCGTCCAGTTGTAAGCCAACGCTGTCTCTCTCTTTTTTTTTTTTTTCGGGGGGGGTTTGTAATCATTTTCTGCAGATAGACAGGTGGAGTGCAGAGTGGAGGAGGAGGAGGAAGGAGGGTGAGGTAGAGAGGAAATGACTTGCAGTTCCGGATGGATAGCCAGCCAGGCAGGCAGTCTGTATATATAATGGATTTTCACTTCCCTCTGCACCTCCCTTCCCCTCCCTCCTTCCTTTTCCTTCAGGCGTGCCGCTCACCTCCCTGCCGTCACTGCACACTTTGACTCCTCGGAGGCAAGAGCGCCCGAGTCCTCGTACAGATGACGGGCGTTCCACCATCACGAGCTGATAGCAAGTTGAGGCAAGCAGGGATCAGATATTAGTCAGCGTCGTCTGGCGAGAATCCCCCCCCCTCCCCTCCTCCTCCTCCCCCCCATTCATCCTCATCCAGTCAGCTCATGTTTAAGATCCGTCACCATCCCGACACTATACTGAAAGAAATACAGCGTGACCTCTCACTCTGTTCACACATCTAATGGCGAGGAAATGGTGAGCGAAATGTACATACGGAGGCTGCAGTGGTTTTCCAGAGGGTGCTCATTAGAAGCCCAACAGAGGGCAGTAGAGTAGAAGAGGAAGCAGGATTTTCTTTCTATCTTATTTCTGTGGGTTATATATTGGTTTTGTTTTCCACTGTGTAATATTGTGCAGGCCATTTGCATTGACTGGGAAAACGCTTTCTACACTGTATTCCATAATAAAGTTTTGAATGTACATACAAATATAAAGTCTCTGTGGGGGTTTTTCTTTCAATCTAAAATGTATTCTAATAACTCATGTGTATGTGTGCTTTTAAATATATTGGGAAAACCTTGAAGGGGGCATTTCATTTTTCTTTGCCGAGGAGGTCAGAGGTCAGACGATGAACAGCAGAGCGGAGCTGACAGCGATTCAAGGACACGTCAGAGCTTCCTGACACTGATGAACCCAGCGAAAGGTTAAAGTGTTTTGCTGAACTGAAACTACACCAGCATCTTAGGAGAGCGGGATGAACTGAAAACCGCTGGCTATGGTGACACTTAAACGATTTGCCGATATGTTAACTGTGTTCTTCTGCTCCGAGATCATCTTCATCTATTTATGCCTCACAACAAAAGGGCTTTTTCAGTTATAGCATCCACAGTAAATCCTGGCCCTTCTTGGGGAATTTCAATGATTATATCTATTGCACGTTGCCAACTTTGTGTCTTGTTTTTCTTAGTCTGACTTTAGTCCTCTCTCTAAAACAGCAGGGCAATCTCCATAATTAATAACAATGTAGGGCCTTGATATTTATTGGAAACTCAAACCATAAATAACACTGTGGGGTTTTAACTTGAATATTTGTTATTTATTTTTGTACTAGAAAGCACTTTGGCTCACTAAATTGTAATAAAGTAAGAAATTGCTGCATCTTTAATGCTAATTTTATAGATTTTTTATTTATTTATTTATTTTGCAAATGCTGTCATAATACAAATCCTAAACTGAACTGAGGTGAATAAAAATTCTGGAGAAACTCTGTGCACTTCAGTGTCTTTAAAAAATAAAAATGACAAAGTAAATAATAGATGCGCTCCAGTGATGCAGATAACAACAAACAGGTTTGTCAGAAAATGACAAACAACAACAAAAAAATAAAAAAGTATTCGTCAGTTGACAGACATTTTCCTGCTTTAGTGGGTTTGGGTTCATCTCCTGCTCCGTGAGGTCACAACACTTCCTTGTCATCACCGCTTACCCACAATCCACCGCGGTCCTCCACATTTGGATTCTGTGCGCTGAGTGTCAAACCCAAGGTGAGTACAGCGTTCATGAAGAAATGCTATCAAACCGTTAACTTCGCCTTGTTGTCATTGCTTTACATTGTAATAAATGCAGATTCAATCAGTAGGCATGGAGTTACGACGTCGCTGCGCCACAAATGACATACGAAGGATAAAGTTTGAGAGCTTTGTGGCGTCTGCTAACGCTATGTTAGCATCTTAGCATTAGCAGTCGGTTTGTTGGGTGAATGAAGCTAACAGTTAGCTCACCATCAGTAACCTAGAAAGCCTAGATTGTATTAAGTACTATTTTTTTAAATAGTGCATGTAAGTTAACGTTTCATGAAGTTGTTTAAGTCGTGGTTAACTTAGTGTCAGCTAGCTGCTGTCAAAAGCAGCTCAAACCAACTAACTGTTGCTAAAGCTAGCTAGCTAGCGCTAATGTTGATTGGCTGCACCTGGTCAGCAGCGCGTCCTTGTAGGAAGATTAGTGAGTGACTGCTTCAACTTTCAATTTATTAAGATATTAGTGCATGTAGCCTTTATCGCAAGATCAAAATATAACAATGCAGCATGTAAATATTCTTGTTTTCTGACGTAGAGATAAAGTAAAGAATCTTATTTCTATTGTAGTGATCAGTGAAGGGTTTAATTCAGCCAGTTGTGCAGTAAAAGCTTTGAGCTGGTGACAAATTCTGGACCACTGACTTAAAAGACAGATCAGATAGTGTGACCAGCACACACACACACACACACACTCCCTTGACTAGCGATTGCAAAAGGTCACCTTATAATGTAATTACTAAACACAAGGTATATTGAACAAAATTAGGAAACGACAAGCAACATTTTTTGGACACAACATTGGAAAGAGACCCTGGAATATATTGTCACAAATGGAAAGATTAATGGGAAGAGAGGACGAGGCAGACACAGAATGAAGATGATGGACGGACTGACATCATGGCTACAAATGGAACGAGCAACAGTCACAATTCAGAAAGCAAAAGATCGGATTAGATGGAGAGAAATGATTGCCTACGCTGAATGGCATGGCACTTGATTGATATAATGCAGCTGTTTTCAAATGACACGATGCCACAGATGGTATCAGAAAGAGGAAAATGGGTTGTAGGAAGAGTAAGACAAGATTCCATAAACAGCATCAACTTCATGACACTGCTGAGTATCTCATTACTGACTTTTTATGTTTTATTGCCCCAATCTGCCTCATATTATTCCCAATAGAGTCTTACTTGGTTGTTTCATGACGTCTGTTCTGTTTTAGAGATGCAGGATCAACAAATAGCGATTCCCTTATGTTAAACAGAAAATGTAATAAGTCATATAAGGAGCACCTCGTTCCACATTATATTTAATATCAGGCTGCTCATATCCTATACATGTGCTCCAGATGAGTCACCTTATTGTCTTTGTTCTCCCTCAGATGGCACTTCACCGGTTATTCCAGCTGTCCTCTCTGCTGCGCTCCGCCGTGAGCCTGACCGTGCGCAGGAACATCGGCATGTCCGCTGTCCTCTTCAACAAGGCCAAGGAGCTCGACCCCATCCAGAAACTGTTCCTGGACAAGATCCGTGACTACAACACCAAGAGCAAGTCAGTAGATAACACACAGCTCCTGTCACTTAACCGCATGAAAAAAAGTTCACCTAGTAGGCATGCAGCTCGTAAAATATTAACCTGAAATGTCCTTGAAAAAGAAGCTACTTTCTGGCTTCTAGCATGCAAACTAATATCAGTCCCCTTTACTAATATTAGAGCTAATTGCAATATTATCAAAAGCTGAATGTGTCACAACATACGATCCTAAATGAGGCGTAGTGGATTAATCGATGTGCTTGGTTGGACCACAGCCAAAGTCACATCATCGTTTTTATATTATTTTTCAGTTCAAACGAAATTTAAAAAAACGACCAATCTCACGGAAATCGTGACTTAAATTGCAGCGTCTGTCAAAGCAATCCGTCCTGCATGTCACTCAGCCACTCATTTGACATCTCCTGCACCCATCGCTGTCACGCTCATGACTTTTGAACATGATTTGATGCCTTGGCTCTCTCAGGGCTTCTGGTGGCATTGTGGATGCAGGTCCCGCTTACCAGAAGAACCTGTCTGAAGAAGTAACCAAACTGCAGAGGCTATACGGAGGAGGAGACCTCGTCAAGTTCCCCGACTTCAAATTCACAGGTCATTGTGCTGAGCGTTGTTGTGTTTTGTTGTTCCTCGTAGTTTCTAATTAAGACAACTCATAAATGTTGTGTGTAGCAGTTTAAATTGTCAAATGTACAGCATATATTGTATTTATTAGATATGACTCAAGACAAATGATAACTATAGGACTAGTAAATGCATTTTTTAAGCACAGAAATGAAATAATGGTCAGTTATTTGTGAACTCAGTGGAGGTTAAAGCTCACTGATGTGCAGAAGAACTCTTGCAGGACAAAGTGACCCAGACTGTATTTTATTATCAGGCCAAACTAAATCACACAGATACCTTAAACATGACAGTTTGTATTCAAACAGTCGTAGATTTTTTTCATCAGTTGCAGCGCTGGAATGACAATTAGACGTGCTTATAATGCAACGACTATTTTTTTCATGACTCGACATGATTTATTTATTTCCTGCTTTGGCAGAGTTTAATAGTTCCCCCTCCATAAATATTTATTCCGCCGCTGAAGAGACGCGCCGTGATTTGGGTCTTTGTCTGTGCCTCTATAAATAGCACCGCTGGTGACACTTATCAAAGAAAGATGACTTGTGTTTGAGCTCGTGATGAAGGAAGCTACCGCTAGCTAGCTGCTGTAGTGTCTGTCTCTGATGTCGTGGCGTGTCGTACAGCTGCAGTATGTCTCATTTCAAACGCTCCCCAACGACTGTCAGGAACAATCCTCTCGTTTTGTTTTCCAGACCCGAAGCTTGACGACGGACCCAAGTGAAGGACGTCCATGTTGTACATCTCCTACATGTCACAAATGTGTTGTATTTAATTAAAAAAACATAGTGGATTGAATAACGACGCATTGGTTGTCAATTCAGCTGCTTCTGGTTTCTCCACTGTACTGAGATCATCTGTCAACATACAACGAGTAAACGACTTCAGATCTGCTGCCTCGTCGTTTTGCTTTTAGAAATACAGCAGAAACAGACAAATTAAAGGAAAACGTGTCTCGGTAAGGCGTTGGGCCTCCATGTACAACTGGAACAACTTCAATCCTCCCTGGCACTGATTCTCCACGTCTCTGGAACTCTAACGGAGGGACGAACATCATTTTTCCAGAAGATGTTCCCTCATCTAACATTGTCCCCCTCACTGCAGAAGGTTTTCCTTTAATTTGTTGCTCGTCTGTATTTTGTCATCTAACTCGTCAAGTATATAAATAATCCTGAATAAAAAATAAAAAAACAAGTGTTGTGACTCATCCTCAGCTTGGAGCTTTTGAAAATTGGGACAATTTATTCTAAGGTGAGTGCCAAAAATAGAGAACGCTGTGAAGGTAGAAATGCTGACTAAGAGCTCAGTCTAACGTTGTGTAAATATAAAATTCTGAGGGTTTTTTTAGTCTTAAAACTAATTTAATCCAATATTAAAGCTTCCTTGTACAGCTTTGTTGGTTCATTTAGAGCTGCAACAGTTAAAATAATTCAGCAAAAGTTTGTAATTTACAAGCAAAACTGATCTAATGGGTTTTTGCTCTTAGTCATACGAAGCATTTTTGTCTAATTTTAGATATTTTACAGCCTAAATGATTGATTCATGTATCAGGAGAATAAAAGCCTGAGCAGCCCTGTGTTTAACAGCAGTCTCAGAGCATATGGTCAGCTGTGCGGACTTATATAATTTAAATGTGGAGATCTGAAACTCGCTGATGATAAATTACAGCGAGCCAAATGTTGCTTGACCTAGATGGAAATTGGCTGTCACTCTGAATTGGTCTTGAGAGTGCTATATTATGACAAGGTCAGAGATGCATTTAAGCTTCTTCCAGGATGAATATTTGAAACCCAAAATAGCATCAGAAAGGCTAAGTTTCCATCTGACCTGATGCCTAAATTTTTTAGCGATTGTGCAGCCGAGCTTTAAAACAGAAACACGTACCGAGATCTTGTCTTGAACGATTCTCCAGCTGCATCCAGAAGAAAACACATGTAGGAACACTTTGAATGTGCAACAAAATCCTGATGTTACTGCCTGTTTTATTAGCAAAGGGGACTGTTAGAGAAGATCTGTGTAACCTGTGTGTGATGCTGCATGCCTGCTAGGAGGAACTGCACTTGAAAGATTAATGTATAGTCCTGTTTGCTGAGCTGCTGCACTCCAGCGTTTCCCTCTGTGGGAATACTGAGCAGGAACATACAGTAAGTGTGATGAGAAGATGCATTCAGTGTCAGTGGGCCACGAAAACAACCAACACTCGGTTAGATTCACATATTCTGTAAGAGGGAACCTTGATTACAAACTGTGGTCAGTGCTTGTGCTGTAAACGCAGAGGTGATAGAAATATTTCATGTTTGTCTCTTAGAAGTGGCAAGAAATGCATTTAAATGTGTGCCATCAAAATAAAAAGCACATAAATATATTCATACATAATATAATGTTGATGCTTTAGTGTTGCTGTAGATGAAAACCTCAGATCTGCAGCAATTAATCGCTAATTATGTCTAGAATGAGTTGGTTTGAGCACATTTTTTTTAATTAAAAAATAATATAATTGCGTCTGTAATGAGAGGAGACGTCTGAGGAGATCTAGATGTTCTGGAATTTTATATCTAATCCAATCTAACAGAGGAAATAAATGTCATTAATTGGCAATACTAATTATCACAAGTAATCAGTTACTGTTGGTTATATTTTTGAACCCTTACTGTGAATCTGTAGCCGTATAGAAGTATACATTAGCTGGAAATACTAAACTTTCTACTACTTTAGCTGCAGCGACTATCATCATTACACTGGGTTACAAAAACATATCTCTTTTGAAGGTGTTTTGGATTTTTTTAAACTGATTTAGGCCATTTTTGCAAAGCTGAATCCAAAAATGACATCTGCTTTTCTGCATCAGGTCAGGTTTTTATGCCAACTTGATTTTTAAAAAGTCGATTTTGCAAATAAATTGATTATATTGATTATATTTTTTGACATTAGCGATGAGCTTCATGCCAAAATAAGCATGAAAAGCATGTTTTACAAAGTTAGTGACCAGGTATCTGTTTGGAACTAGAGTGTACTCGCCACAGATGTAGCAGAAGACATCAGGCTTATTTCTGGCTGAAGCCATTTGTTTTCAATGTATGTATTGAGGCAAAGAGCACTAAATATATAACAATACTGAAGCAGAGAAAACTATCACAAACTAAAATTATGATCACACCATCTGGTGGCGTTCACTCACATGTTCACCTTGATAGAATCACATGACTCTAATGTGTTGTTCATAAACCAGGAGGTGAACTTTCTAAGTTTAATTCACCTTCAAGTATTTATAGTATCAACTTGTACAGGTTTCAGAATTTGTTGATTTCAGGAAAAAGAAAAAGAGTTTTGTATGAAACAAAGCTATGTACATGTACACAAAAATGTAAAAACAAAAAGTGCATGTGGCGACAAATCAAAATTTTGACCTCATTGAGCAAAACCAGTGTAATGTTTGGATTCAGCACATTGCAAATGTCTAAAATCAGCTCAAAAAACTTTGACACCAAAATGGGTGTAGACCAGTGTTAATGATGTGTTTATATTTTGTTGATTCAGTTTTGATAATCTGAGTCTCCAAAGTAATCGATCACAGTGTATTGAGGTAAAGTCTACTATATGTGGTGGTCTATAAATCCATCCGTTCCACTTCTGTGTAAATCTGAACACAATAAACAGACGAAGTGTGGCTTTGAATAGAAAAACCTTTTATTACTGATACTCCATTCAAATAAAACTCTGAACAACTCATTCACACAGTCTAAAAACAGACACTCCGTTTGATAAACATCGATAAACAGTGGCACAAAAATATAAAGACAGAAAAAAGTAAGGCAAGTTCTTTACAAAAAACCTGTGATCCATAGATAAATATGACAGACAAATTAAAAAGGCACAAGGTATACAGTATATATATTTATAAAAAAGACCATGCAGGCACATTAGGATGGAATGGGGGTTGGTCTCTTGGTACAATTGGCTTCCTGTTTGTTACTAAGATCGTGAGGATCTTCAGTGGCCCCAGTGTTACAGAAGACAAAATACTGACTGAGGTAAACTGCATTTAGTCGATTGAGAACAACTGATATTCTTTCCCTATGGCTTTAAGAAGATTTCCCCTGTCGTGATTTAATTTTTAAAGCAAATTAAACGTCAGTCTTTGGTAAAAGAAAAAAAAAAAAAGTAGGGTAAAAAAATTAAAAACAATCGGCCTGCAGAGGAGAGAAACAAAAGGTGGTAGAAAAATCTACTAGCCCTGGAGTTCAACATCTCACCACCAGGGGGGAGCAGAGTACCATGAAACTGTACTGAATCCCATGAAGACTTGAGTGAAAGAAGCAAAAAAAAAAAAAACTACACAGCAAAGCACGAGAGCAGGAGGCCTTGCGAAAAAATTTGCTTGAAGAACGATTGAAATTAGTACGTATTGGAAGATCGAGAGCTCACTCCGAGTCCGGAGAGAGAAAAAATAAATCAGAGTCCAGTGTTGGCACCTTATCGCAAAGGGTGATTTATCCTCATGGGAAGGCCAGCTTCTCAGAGCATGAATGATTGTGTGTGTTTGAAGTCCTGCGGCTGAGGGGGGGACACACAAAATGAAAAAATATTAGTGTTTGATTTTTTATTTTTTTTGCTCTGTTTTCAGAATAATGGCTCCTCGGAGGTGGCAGTGTTGTAACTACAATCAAAAGCACAGCAACGCCTATAGGTGAGTGTGATCTACTCATGTGAAAGAAAAAGAAGTCTTACCTCTTGGGGCGGAGGAATGTAGTTGACATTAGACCTGAAAGACAAAGACATGGTGAGCACAACAGACAGCTGTATCCTGAGTCACATTGTGCCCTGTATAAATAATGCACATCATACATGGCAAAGCCCACGAGGTCAAAGGAGGAGCTGGAGAGAGTCAGTGTTTGTGAGCTCAGGAGTTGTCGTTACTGTTCAGGATGTCGATTTATGCACAGTTAGTAGTAGCAGTAGTGTAGTGCCTTAAATGTGAATGGTTTTGCAATATTTGTACTGACATGATGACTCTGATCTACAGCTGTGATTCAAATTCTGCTTGTTTAGTTCTTCACCTACCGCGTACAGCTAAAATCCAATCAAGACTGAATGTATCTGACTGTATATAACTAACTATCTGCCCCCCCCATGGCTTATCACAATGTATAAAGATACCATTTGGTGTGTTTCTTTCAACAGACTGGACGTTTGAGGAAATG